GCCTCAAGCTCTTACTGGAGGACCCGGCTGCTTCTAACCTCGCTGATGCCATGTGGAAACCCGTTCCTGCCAAAAAGGCCGCCCTGAGGTGAGTGGGAACGTTGCAGGGGAGAATGTTGAACGAGGTAAGCGCTGTTTGTATGGCAAAATCTGCCTGCAGCAGCGTGCTTCCAGCGCCTCAAGCTCTTACTGGAGGACCCGGCTGCTTCTAACCTCGCTGATGCCATGTGGAAACCCGTTCCTGCCAAAAAGGCCGCCCTGAGGTGAGTGGGAACGTTGCAGGGGAGAATGTTGAACGAGGTAAGCGCTGTTTGTATGGCAAAATCTGCCTGCAGCAGCGTGCTTCCAGCGCCTCAAGCTCTTACTGGAGGACCCGGCTGCTTCTAACCTCGCTGATGCCATGTGGAAACCCGTTCCTGCCAAAAAGGCCGCCCTGAGGTGAGTGGGAACGTTGCAGGGGAGAATGTTGAACGAGGTAAGCGCTGTTTGTATGGCAAAATCTGCCTGCAGCAGCGTGCTTCCAGCGCCTCAAGCTCTTACTGGAGGACCCGGCTGCTTCTAACCTCGCTGATGCCATGTGGAAACCCGTTCCTGCCAAAAAGGCCGCCCTGAGGTGAGTGGGAACGTTGCAGGGGAGAATGTTGAACGAGGTAAGCGCTGTTTGTATGGCAAAATCTGCCTGCAGCAGCGTGCTTCCAGCGCCTCAAGCTCTTACTGGAGGACCCGGCTGCTTCTAACCTCGCTGATGCCATGTGGAAACCCGTTCCTGCCAAAAAGGCCGCCCTGAGGTGAGTGGGAACGTTGCAGGGGAGAATGTTGAACGAGGTAAGCGCTGTTTGTATGGCAAAATCTGCCTGCAGCAGCGTGCTTCCAGCGCCTCAAGCTCTTACTGGAGGACCCGGCTGCTTCTAACCTCGCTGATGCCATGTGGAAACCCGTTCCTGCCAAAAAGGCCGCCCTGAGGTGAGTGGGAACGTTGCAGGGGAGAATGTTGAACGAGGTAAGCGCTGTTTGTATGGCAAAATCTGCCTGCAGCAGCGTGCTTCCAGCGCCTCAAGCTCTTACTGGAGGACCCGGCTGCTTCTAACCTCGCTGATGCCATGTGGAAACCCGTTCCTGCCAAAAAGGCCGCCCTGAGGTGAGTGGGAACGTTGCAGGGGAGAATGTTGAACGAGGTAAGCGCTGTTTGTATGGCAAAATCTGCCTGCAGCAGCGTGCTTCCAGCGCCTCAAGCTCTTACTGGAGGACCCGGCTGCTTCTAACCTCGCTGATGCCATGTGGAAACCCGTTCCTGCCAAAAAGGCCGCCCTGAGGTGAGTGGGAACGTTGCAGGGGAGAATGTTGAACGAGGTAAGCGCTGTTTGTATGGCAAAATCTGCCTGCAGCAGCGTGCTTCCAGCGCCTCAAGCTCTTACTGGAGGACCCGGCTGCTTCTAACCTCGCTGATGCCATGTGGAAACCCGTTCCTGCCAAAAAGGCCGCCCTGAGGTGAGTGGGAACGTTGCAGGGGAGAATGTTGAACGAGGTAAGCGCTGTTTGTATGGCAAAATCTGCCTGCAGCAGCGTGCTTCCAGCGCCTCAAGCTCTTACTGGAGGACCCGGCTGCTTCTAACCTCGCTGATGCCATGTGGAAACCCGTTCCTGCCAAAAAGGCCGCCCTGAGGTGAGTGGGAACGTTGCAGGGGAGAATGTTGAACGAGGTAAGCGCTGTTTGTATGGCAAAATCTGCCTGCAGCAGCGTGCTTCCAGCGCCTCAAGCTCTTACTGGAGGACCCGGCTGCTTCTAACCTCGCTGATGCCATGTGGAAACCCGTTCCTGCCAAAAAGGCCGCCCTGAGGTGAGTGGGAACGTTGCAGGGGAGAATGTTGAACGAGGTAAGCGCTGTTTGTATGGCAAAATCTGCCTGCAGCAGCGTGCTTCCAGCGCCTCAAGCTCTTACTGGAGGACCCGGCTGCTTCTAACCTCGCTGATGCCATGTGGAAACCCGTTCCTGCCAAAAAGGCCGCCCTGAGGTGAGTGGGAACGTTGCAGGGGAGAATGTTGAACGAGGTAAGCGCTGTTTGTATGGCAAAATCTGCCTGCAGCAGCGTGCTTCCAGCGCCTCAAGCTCTTACTGGAGGACCCGGCTGCTTCTAACCTCGCTGATGCCATGTGGAAACCCGTTCCTGCCAAAAAGGCCGCCCTGAGGTGAGTGGGAACGTTGCAGGGGAGAATGTTGAACGAGGTAAGCGCTGTTTGTATGGCAAAATCTGCCTGCAGCAGCGTGCTTCCAGCGCCTCAAGCTCTTACTGGAGGACCCGGCTGCTTCTAACCTCGCTGATGCCATGTGGAAACCCGTTCCTGCCAAAAAGGCCGCCCTGAGGTGAGTGGGAACGTTGCAGGGGAGAATGTTGAACGAGGTAAGCGCTGTTTGTATGGCAAAATCTGCCTGCAGCAGCGTGCTTCCAGCGCCTCAAGCTCTTACTGGAGGACCCGGCTGCTTCTAACCTCGCTGATGCCATGTGGAAACCCGTTCCTGCCAAAAAGGCCGCCCTGAGGTGAGTGGGAACGTTGCAGGGGAGAATGTTGAACGAGGTAAGCGCTGTTTGTATGGCAAAATCTGCCTGCAGCAGCGTGCTTCCAGCGCCTCAAGCTCTTACTGGAGGACCCGGCTGCTTCTAACCTCGCTGATGCCATGTGGAAACCCGTTCCTGCCAAAAAGGCCGCCCTGAGGTGAGTGGGAACGTTGCAGGGGAGAATGTTGAACGAGGTAAGCGCTGTTTGTATGGCAAAATCTGCCTGCAGCAGCGTGCTTCCAGCGCCTCAAGCTCTTACTGGAGGACCCGGCTGCTTCTAACCTCGCTGATGCCATGTGGAAACCCGTTCCTGCCAAAAAGGCCGCCCTGAGGTGAGTGGGAACGTTGCAGGGGAGAATGTTGAACGAGGTAAGCGCTGTTTGTATGGCAAAATCTGCCTGCAGCAGCGTGCTTCCAGCGCCTCAAGCTCTTACTGGAGGACCCGGCTGCTTCTAACCTCGCTGATGCCATGTGGAAACCCGTTCCTGCCAAAAAGGCCGCCCTGAGGTGAGTGGGAACGTTGCAGGGGAGAATGTTGAACGAGGTAAGCGCTGTTTGTATGGCAAAATCTGCCTGCAGCAGCGTGCTTCCAGCGCCTCAAGCTCTTACTGGAGGACCCGGCTGCTTCTAACCTCGCTGATGCCATGTGGAAACCCGTTCCTGCCAAAAAGGCCGCCCTGAGGTGAGTGGGAACGTTGCAGGGGAGAATGTTGAACGAGGTAAGCGCTGTTTGTATGGCAAAATCTGCCTGCAGCAGCGTGCTTCCAGCGCCTCAAGCTCTTACTGGAGGACCCGGCTGCTTCTAACCTCGCTGATGCCATGTGGAAACCCGTTCCTGCCAAAAAGGCCGCCCTGAGGTGAGTGGGAACGTTGCAGGGGAGAATGTTGAACGAGGTAAGCGCTGTTTGTATGGCAAAATCTGCCTGCAGCAGCGTGCTTCCAGCGCCTCAAGCTCTTACTGGAGGACCCGGCTGCTTCTAACCTCGCTGATGCCATGTGGAAACCCGTTCCTGCCAAAAAGGCCGCCCTGAGGTGAGTGGGAACGTTGCAGGGGAGAATGTTGAACGAGGTAAGCGCTGTTTGTATGGCAAAATCTGCCTGCAGCAGCGTGCTTCCAGCGCCTCAAGCTCTTACTGGAGGACCCGGCTGCTTCTAACCTCGCTGATGCCATGTGGAAACCCGTTCCTGCCAAAAAGGCCGCCCTGAGGTGAGTGGGAACGTTGCAGGGGAGAATGTTGAACGAGGTAAGCGCTGTTTGTATGGCAAAATCTGCCTGCAGCAGCGTGCTTCCAGCGCCTCAAGCTCTTACTGGAGGACCCGGCTGCTTCTAACCTCGCTGATGCCATGTGGAAACCCGTTCCTGCCAAAAAGGCCGCCCTGAGGTGAGTGGGAACGTTGCAGGGGAGAATGTTGAACGAGGTAAGCGCTGTTTGTATGGCAAAATCTGCCTGCAGCAGCGTGCTTCCAGCGCCTCAAGCTCTTACTGGAGGACCCGGCTGCTTCTAACCTCGCTGATGCCATGTGGAAACCCGTTCCTGCCAAAAAGGCCGCCCTGAGGTGAGTGGGAACGTTGCAGGGGAGAATGTTGAACGAGGTAAGCGCTGTTTGTATGGCAAAATCTGCCTGCAGCAGCGTGCTTCCAGCGCCTCAAGCTCTTACTGGAGGACCCGGCTGCTTCTAACCTCGCTGATGCCATGTGGAAACCCGTTCCTGCCAAAAAGGCCGCCCTGAGGTGAGTGGGAAGGAAGAGTGGTGAACTAGTTGGGGGGCAGTGCCAGTGGTGGTCGCATTTGTTCCTGGCAGTTGGGGTTCCACTGTGGAAATGGCAAGGGCACGAGCAGTAGCAGCAGCAGTGCGGCCTTCTAACCGCCCCTTTTTCCCTCGCTTATTTTCTCCTTACTGCTCTGCTCTGCACCATTATTCAGATTCCTCACTCGCAGCACCACAAGCAACAGCAGTACAGCAGTAGCACCAGACGAGTCAGTATATGAAATCTCAAGTGATTCTCGCATTTACTTTCCTCCTCCACTTCCCTTCCTCTCTTCCTCTGCAGCTTCCTCACTCGCAGCGCCACCAGCAACAGCAGCACAGCAGTAGCACCAGACGAATCAGTGTATGAGATCTCACATGTTGCACCCATCCCCACCGAACCCCACCCCTGCAGTTTTCTCACTCGCAGCGCCACCAGCAACAGCAGCACAGCAGTAGCGCCTGACGAGTCGGTGTATGAGATTGTGCCGCGAGGGTTCCACACATCCCAATGCCCTCTTTCTCCCTCCCACTTCCCTCCCTCTCTTCCTCCGCAGCTTCCTTACCCGCAGTGCCACCAGCAACAGCAGCACGGCAGTAGCACCAGACGAGTCGGTGTATGAAATTGTGCCACGAGGGTTCCACACATCCCAGCCCTCTTTCTCCCTCCCACATCCCTCCCTCTACCTCCGCAGTTTCCTCACTCGCAGCGCCACCAGCAACAGCAGCACAGCTGTCGCACCAGACGAGTCGGTGTATGAGATCGTGCCTCGAGGGGGAGCGGTTGACTCTATCACGAGTTATGTTGCCAACTATATCCGCAGTTATATGCAGCGGTGCGTGGGAGAAGGGGAGCATGGGGGGGAAGGGACGAGAGAGGCCAGAGTGCTATGGCCAAAGGGAAGGGATGGGAACGGAGAGGTGAGTGCCGCAAGGAAGGCTGTGAACTCCATCACGAGCTATGGGGCTGAGTGCGTAGTGGAAGGGGGATGCAGAGGTGTAGAGGGAGGGGTGTACAAGGACTTGCTGTTTCGAGCTGTGGCTCAGTCACTCAGGGCGCTGTTGCCAGTGCAACGCGCTGTCTGTGGGCGTGTGGGGTTCCGTGGGTTCTACAGATGCTATGGTTACAACTGCATTCGCAGACAGATGCATTTGTATGTCTGAGGTGAGGTGAGCGGGTAAGGAAGGCGCAGCTGTGGTGTCGAACACCTCAGGTCCCTCTTCTCCTGACTTCGGGTTCTCTTCTCCCTCCAGAAGACCTGTCAGGAGAGAACCCAAACTCCCTCACACCACCACACAGCTGAACTAGTCATTTGATGTTTCCCCTCCTTCCCCAACCTTCCTCCTTTTTATCCTTCCTCCTATCTACTTGTGCCGGCAAGGAAGGCGCAGCTACGTCGACTCGCTCACATCCCTCTTCTCTCTTCTTGAAGCCCACCCAGACGAAGACCCAAGCTTCCTCACAGCAGATTTCGCCCTCCTCTCCCTCCCTGCCTCCTCCCCCTGCCCATTTTCCTAAGCAGGCAAGACAGACGCAGCTATGTCGAGTCGACTCCCTCACGTCCCTCTTCTCTCTCCCTGAAGCTCAACCAGACGAAGACCCAAGCTTTCCTCTTCTTCCTCCTTTCCCCCCCAAACCCACCTGAGCAGGCAAGGAAGGCGCAGCTATGTGGACTCCCTCACATCCCTCTTCTCTCTCCTTGAAGCCCATCCAGACGAAGACCCAAGCTCCCTCACAGCCGATTTCGCCCTCCTCTCCCTCCCCGCCTCCTCCTCCCTCTCCCCTCTCGCCTCCTCCAATCCCATCGCTGCTGCCGCCGCCGCTGCCACCATCAACGCCACGTCAGCATCTGCCATGTCAGCAAACGGGAGGGCGCCAGGTGTCGGGAGGAGCCTGGAGAGCGAGACAGCTCAGCTGGTGATGGCGCTAAGGAGAAATTTAGAGTCCAGAGCAAGGCTTTACCCAGAAGAGGAGCTACAGCAGCTCTTCCTTATGAACAACCTCAACTATCTCGTTAAATCCATGTGAGTAGGGTGATGTGTTCGTTTTTCCTTTCTCCTAAGTATCCCTCTCTCTGGCTAGAGGAGCCTAGAGAGCGAGACAGCTCAGCTCAGCTGGTGATGGCTTTGAGGAGGAATCTAGAGTCCAGAGCAAGGCTTTACCCAGAGGAGGAACTACAGCAGCTGTTTCTTATGAACAACCTCAAGTATCTGGTCAAGTCCATGTGAGCATATTTGTGTGCTTTTCTTTCTCCAGAGGAGGAGTTACAACAGCTGTTCCTGATGAGCAACCTCCGTTATCTGGTCGAGTCCATGTGGGTTTATATTGCTTGTATGTGGGGGAAGGAAGGGGGGGAGCATTAGTGAGTGAGACAGCTCAGCCTCAGGTGGCGGTGATGGCGTTGAGGAAGAGTCTAGAGTCCAGGGCGAGGCTTAACCCAGACAAGGGCTATTTGTGACATTGCGTGCTCATTTTTGCTAAATGCGATTTCAGCTTTTTTGTCCTTTTTCCCTTTCTTTTCTTTTCTTTGTGGCTGCAGGAACGACTGGCACGGGTGGCATGCACAAGGCATTGAGAAGAATCTCTCTGCTGTGAGAAGGTATGCTGTTGCTTTTGGGAGAGGTATGGTGGCTGGGAGGTTTGGTGGCTGGATGGGAAGTATGGTGGCTGTCTGGGAGGTATGGTGGCTGGGACGTATGGCTGCAGACTGGGGTGCAGAGTGTTTCAGCCTCCTTCTCGGGTGTTCCACTGCTCCCCCAACGGTACCCTTTTTTCCACTATACCCGATTGAGGGCGCCAAACGCCTCGTGGTAGCGCTGGCAAACCTGCATGACGACCGAAGGGTGGTAGAGTGCGGTGCAGAGTGGTGCAGCCTGTTTGCCTCTTGTCTGCTCACGTTTCCCCCCATTCACCACAGAGGAGGGCGCCAAGGATCTAATGGTAGCGCTAGGAGTCCTGCATGACGACCGGGTGGTGATGGAGAGTGTTGCCGAGCAGAGCAGTGCAGATTCGTTCAGCCTTCTTCCCTCCCTCTCCCCTCATCCACCAGGGAAGGTGTCAAGGACCTCATGGTGGCACTGGCAGACCTGCATGACGACCGGGTGGTGGTTGACTGCGGTGCAGAGTGATCGAATGTGGTTCCTCTCGTTTCCCCTTGCAAACCACCCACCAGGGAGGGCGCAAAGGATCTAATTGTGGCGCTAGCAGACCTGCATGACGACCGGGTGGGGATGGAGGAGAGTGGTGCACACTGGTTCAGCCTCCTACCCTTCTTGTTTCCTCCCATTCACCGCCAGGGAGGGCGCCAAGGATCTCATGGTGGCGCTGGCAGACCTGCATGACGACCGGGTGGTGCAGCAGCACGCGGGAGCATTCCAGTCCCTCGCCCTGCTCAAGGTGAGAGAGACAGGTACACTCAGGTACAGTGGCATTCAGAGGGGTTCGACTGAGTCGTGCCAAATCACGGGGTAGCGCTAGCAGGTTTGCATGATGACCGGGTGGTGCAGCTGCACGCGGGAGCGTTCCAGTCCCTCGCCCAGCTCAAGGTGAGATATGATGGATGTCAGGACAGTGGCTACTCGAGTGGCACATAGCGTGTAGCACTGGCAGACCTGCATGACGATATGGGGCACCACCGTTGCATTGTGCAGCAACAATGCAGCATGCTGGGGCGTTGCAGTCCCTCGTCCTGCCTGAGGCAAGGCAAGACGAGTGCTGCCACTTCTTCACAGGTAGGACCCCCACCCACATGCGCTTCGCTCGCAAACCAGGAGCTCTGCTCCCCACCCGCTTGCGCTTCCCCATCCCTCCCTTCATAACCATCGTTTCTCCCCATCAGACCATGACTGCCCGGAGCACCAATGAGAATGTGGTGCAGCGGAGTGCAGTGCTGTGCAGCCATTCACATGCTTCTATGTATCCATGCTTCCCGTCCCTTTATGTGCTGTCTCTTGCTGTACCATGCTACTTCTCCCTTGTTGCGTCACCCCATCGGCTCATGGCTGGCTACCTGGAGCACAAACGAGGATGCCATGGGGCCATTCACTCACTCAGGTCCTTCTTCATCCCTCTTCACATCCCTCCCCCACTTTACTATGGCTTCCCATTTCTCTTTTACCTTTCCTCTTTGCATCACCCCATCAGGTCATGAGCACCAATGAGGACGCAGTGCAGCCATCCACTCACTCGTTTCTCCCTTGGTGCTTCTACCATGTGTATTGCCCTATCCCATCACCTCATCAGGTCATGACTGCCCTGAGCACCAATGAGGACGCGGTTCAGCCAACACACAGAACTGCTGCTGATTATGTCAAGGCAGAGATGCAACGGTGAGATGGCATGTATCTGTAAGACAATACGTGACAGGTAAACCCCTCTGTGCGCTCTTGAAACAGTTCAATGTTTGCATTTGCGGATCTCTCAGTTGCGGAGCTCTCATTTGTGGTGCTCTGAAAGAGGCAGAGCTATTGATTGGGCCACTCCTTGAGGGGCTAAACTTTATGGGTGCCTCTGAGTCGACGCAAAACTTGGAACAATCTTATGTTTCCATTTGCGGAGCTCTGAAAGAGGCAGAGCTATTGGGGCACTCCTTGAGGGGCTGAACTTTATGGGTGCCTCTGAGTATCCTGAGGATGTGCTGATATGAATGCTCCAATCGTCGTCCCTCCACGCGCAGTCTAAAGCGGTTCAACTCGGCATTTGAAGAGCTTCAAGAGAGGCAGACGCACTGGACGATCCCAGACGATGGGCTGAGGCGGAAGATTCGGGCAAAATGGGCGACGAGCATCAAGGAGCGGTACAGGAAGATGCTGCTGCCGTACTGGTGGGTGTGGATGGGTGCTGGTGTGTGTGAGTGTGCAGGTGTGTGTCAGTGGGCCTTAGGGGTAGAGGCAGCACCATCCCTAACAATTGGCGAAATGGGCGACGAGCATCAAGGAGCGGTACAGGAAGATGCTGCTGCCGTACTGGTGGGTGTGTCTGCCAGTTTTTGTTTTTTTGTGTGTGTCTGTGAATCTGTGCTGATTTGTAGCCTTGTCCGTGCCGCACTCATGAGCACTTGCTCTGGTTGTGAGCGTGCATGGGTTTTCCTCAGTACCTCCACATACTTTCCCATCCTGACCTATGAATCCCTGTATGTAAATGTATTGTATCTTTGCAGGGATGACTTGACATCGTGCAAGTTTTATGCCTTCACACCAGAAAGAGTAGAAGAGATCATTCAGCACACTTTCTTCATGGACTCTTCTGATTGAACTCTGGATTGTTTTCAGTCTAACCAACGTAAAATAATAAATCAGTAGAATGTGTATTTATATTTGGTTGCAACTCCAAACCCATTTGCGATGCTCCCTGCTACCGCATCCTGCTAATTTTCCCCGTCATACCACATAGATTCGGAAAGCAATATGGTGCATTTCTCGTCGAGTTTCCCGCCATATTGGCAACGCACAGGGTCAGCCTGACACCCACGCTGGTCGGTCCGTGCCGAATCGGTTCGGCTTTGGCCATCCTTCGGCTTCGGCTTCCGTCGGCAACGGCTATATTTCAAATTCAGGAACAACAAACCACCATCTCGTCTTGGATTTCAGTTCCATGACTCACTGGGTTATCGTTTCCTCAGGATTCTCAGTTGCTAGCCAGCCATATGCAATAGTACTCTTGTTTAGCGCTGTGCCAGTCATTATTTTTTTTGTGCCTTTGAAATGCGGTATCTTTAAGTCGGTCGGAAAGTCACGAAAATGGAGCGTTGAAAGGAGCCGGAGTCGCGTTCCGGTCACTAGCATTAGGAGAGGTCCATCGAAACTGGGTACTATCACACGTGGTATGTTCAATATTCGAGCGCTTCGATTTCTTTTTCTCACATTATTATTTCCGAGATCTTCTCGTCGCGAGTCGCGATGTTTTTAACTCTTTCGAGTTTCACGGCTACCTCACAAACCGATGCATTTCAAGTTGTCGCTTACTCGAACCTAGACTAAGCCACGCACCAGGAAGATCTGGGTATAAGCTGTGCGGTTTGAAGTTGGGAGTTGCGAATTGCGAGGTGTGTGCTTGGCGGCCTGAGCAAGGTAAGAGCATGGCTCCTAGGAATTTGCAGACGTTTAGGGGTTAGGCTGGGCATATATTGCGTTCAGGGCTTGTGTGTCAGGGGGCGTGTAAGGGCTTTTGTGTGAAGGCTAAATTGTTCTTTTCAGATCGATTTCATGACGGTTTGTGAGGACTTTTCGAGAATGCTCAGAAGTTTTTTGTTCTGTGGGATAGGTCTTATTCATCGGATCGTGGTCATGGTTTATGGCAAGAGATGTTTCTTCTGTCAGTGAAACATACTGAGGCAACTTCACAACAGAATCATGAAAGGTTCACAAAATGTTCACAGATAATCCACCAAGCAGTACATACATGGCCTCTTCCCGTCCTCTTCCCTCCCTTATTCATTTATGTACATACGTCATCGCATATGCTACAGATCACACCAGCCCAGCCATCGCACAGCCATAGCGAAGCTCCAGCCATTCATCCCCTCCACACATCCTTTCATGCATCCTCGACGCATCATAGGTGTGTCCTCAACCTTATTGAGTGACTTGGTTCTTGCTGTCTTTTCCCTTCTTCAAATTCTCGCCGGTCCAACTCCCTTCCTTGTGCATCCCCTCACCCTCCTCCCTCACAGACCTCCCAAGTTGTGATTCTCAAGAGGTGACTTAACGGCTTGCCTACGGGTCAATTGGGAGACCAATGGGAACATCAATGGGAATTCCGATGGGACGCCTGCAGCAGCGCGGGCCAGTTCTAGCCGAGTAGCAGCAGCGGGGAGGTTCAGTATCGGATCCCTGGCAGCACTGCCGGCCACAACAATAACTGCCAGTCGCCTCCCCGTTATACCCAATCCCAGGACAGCACTCGCCGCCTCTCACGCCGGGGATGCTGCAGCACTGGGGTTTCAGCTCATCATTGCAGCACACGCTTCCGCCGCAGCAGGAGGATTTTTCCGGGCAGCCGCCGCACTGCCCGCCGCAGCATTTCACGCCGCCCGGGCAGCACTTGCCGTTGCAGCAGGTGGATCCGGGTGCGCAGCATTTTCCGTTGCAGCAGGTGGTGCCGTGCTTGCAGCAGGTGCCGCCGCAGCAGTAGCTGGTGCGGGTGCTGCAGCAGGTGCCAGCAGTGGTGGGATCGCTGGTGGGAGATGGCAGGCAGCAGGTCAGCCCTATGGACTCACCTCCCTGGCAGCACTGGCCGCCACAGCAACGCGGTGAGTTTCCCTGGGGAAGGGGCAGGAGAATATGGCGGACGGGAAGATATAGAAGTGAGATCATAGATCGTCCCAGTGGACTCAAATGGCAGGCAGCAGGTGAGCCTATGGCTTCGCCTCGCAGGCAGCACTGGCCGCCACAGCAACGCGGTGAGTTTCCGTGGGGAACAGAAGTGAGATTGCTATTCACTTTGAGAAGAGAAGGACTGACATGATACGTTAAGTCTGGAAAGGGCGCTGGGCAGGGCGTTCAAGCCCAAGCGGAGGTAACAAAACGATGTGAGTGACCGTTTTAGGAGTGGGGTGAGGTGACCCGCACGCCAGAGGCAGCATATCTCATTGCTGTGAATCGTGGAAGCACCCAGATAATTCAAGGCAGCAGCACCCATTTCAATAACTCGTTGATGCTCCAATATGATAGGCTGACGTGGACTCACGAGGCAGCAGCTCCCGTTGCAGTAGATCTGTGGTCCCCAGCATCCGAATTGACGCTGCAAGGTGTCTGCTGAGCTGTCCTCGAGCATGAGAGGGCACGGCTGACGTGGCGGGATGCATGGGCGGACAACAGGGTCAACGGGGTCAATGGGGTCGTCAACGGGGTCAATGGGCTCGGTGCATCCGCCGAAGCGCTTGCAGATGGGGTCTGGAAACTTGCCGAATATCACCCTCCTTGGTGCTGCCGAATCCTCGTTTGAAGGAATGTCGTTTGTAGCAGTTTCGCCTGCTGCTCCTGAGGTGATAGCTGCGGCACGATCAGTGGATGAAGATTCGGTAAGACTGGAGTGGTGGGGAGCAGCATACGAGCTGCTGAGGGCAGACGAGAGGAGAAGAACGATGGAGAAGAGCTGCGAGAAGGAAGCCATTGCTGCTGCTGCAGAGTTGAACAGCGAATGGTTATCCACCTTTTTCTCAACCCAAACTGGTGCTGGGTGGGGGCTGTGGAATTCGTGTTCAAAACGCCACACTTTATACGGTATTTGCGCTTCCTGCCTGTGCAAAAGATTCTGGAATTCTTTCCAAAAGAGCCTCCACCCGACTCCGGAGACAGTAACGGCGCCGCCAAATTCAGTCGGGTCTGTGGGGGAAGGGGGCAAGTGCGTTTGAGAGCGGTTCGATGGGTGTGACATTGGGAGGTTCCTATTGGCTGAACCACGGGATGCGATGTGAGGCAACACAGTTGCCGCAGGGAGGTTGCGAATGGCTCAGGGTCTAATCCGAATGCGCGCTTACACTTCTGCACACCAGACGTCCAAATCCGACATTGGTTCGACTCTGAGCCACTCAATCTACCCTAGTATGTGTAACGAGATCGGATTCGGGTTGTTGAACGCACTTCATAAAAACTGCCGTCAGCCGGCCATTCTGACGGATGGTTATCTGCACCGACCAGAAACGCCTCCAAGTGAACAAAAACTGAACTTTCGCCAGTATACCTGTAACGCCCTTACGAATCATGCGAAATCACCGTGAACCCAACCTCGCCAGCGGAGCTGTCGGCAGAACTGTCGCCTGTCATCCATCCGTCAATCAACGTCTTCAGTCACCTGTAAGCTCCCCCCGACCTCATCTCAACCGTCCTTGCCATACGCGGCACGGCAGCTTTTCAATTGTGACGTGATAATGACAATTCGGGTTTAGGTCACGGTTCTGGCCGAAGCTTGGACACCAAGAACCAAAATTTTCCCTCAGTGACGTGTAAAAAGACCCGATCATTGGTCCCCTAACAAGTTGCGAGAAGTCTTGGAGCATGGCAGCCAATCAGACGTGTTCATTGCTACCAAAGTGTCCACACTTCACTTGGTGTCCAAGCTTCAGAACCGCGGTCTTAGTCCGGTCTATTGCATTTTGACGCAGTTTTAGGGTTTCACCACTTTATGTTGATATAATACCGAAGCTGTCTCGCTTAGGGAAGTACGCCATTCAAATACCCATTTTCCGTGCGTATTTCCCTAGGGCGACCTTTCCGAAGGTGAAAGCTCCGCGTCGAACCTGTCCCGTCTGTTGTACAGTATCGCGTTGAAACGGTCTCGGAATCGCGAATCGTTCATTTTACATTGAGCATTTTCGAGTGGTGGCAGTCGTTAGTTCCTCTCATAATCCTTAGGTACAGAGAGAGCCTACTATTCGTTCCTGGCTTCCCGCTATGGGCGGTGCGTTGGCCAAGCCAAAGGAGCGAGATGCCAAGGGGAAGGTTGTTCTTATAACGGGGTGCTCCAATGGAGGAATCGGCTACGCAATCGCCGAGTAAGCCGCCTTTCGATTCGATTCTTGCACTCGTTAGAATCACTTTCGTTTTCCACACAATTCTCTCGTGGGTTCCTTGGAATTGTGCGTAGCCGGGTATCACATGCGTTCACTGTCACATCCTTCAGTGTCACTTCAACTACGTATTCTATTGTTGCCGCTTTCCGCCCCGTTGCCACGTCATCACTCTCTAGGGAGTTTCAGCGGCGCGGCGCGAACGTGTTCGCCACGTCACGCCGAGTCGACACGATGAAGGGGCTGAAAGAGAAAGGGGTGAACACGCTTGCGCTCGACGTCACATCTGAGCCGTCCATCCAGGTGATCCTACGGCTGCGGTGAGAACTCGTAGCCCGCAAGGCTGATGTGCTGGTTTCTGAAATTTGTGGTCGTTGATTAGCCAGATTTGAGAGAGGTCCATCCACTCTTTTATTCTATTCTACCGCCCCCCTTTTTTTATTTTTCTGGAGTATGGTTACCTTGTGTTTCTTTCCAGGAATCCGCCCCCCTCTCCTCCGCTTCCCTCTCCCTCCTCTCTTCTCACTCCTCTCCTCTCCCCCCCTCTCCTTCCTCTCCTCCAATTTCTCCCCCGCCCCCTTCTCTGCTCCTTTCCTCCCCACCCTCTCGTCCCACTTCTCCCCTCTCGTCCCCTTTCCCTTCTCCTTTCCTCTTGCTTCCCTTACAGTGAAGGAGGTCACGCGTGCAGGGGTGTGGATAGGCCAGTAGATGTTCTTCCTATGGGCTTCCCATCCGCCTCTCCCTTCTCCTCTCCCCTCCCCTACAGACAGCGTGAAGGAGGTGACAAGAACAGCGGGGCGGGTGGACGTGCTTGTCAGCATCGCAACGCGGGGTGTGGGCTGCTGAGTCTGCCGTACTATGCCCCCTTCGCCTTCAACTCCCCTCTCCTCCCCTACAGGCAGCAGTCAAGCAAATCACCAGCCAAACGGGGTGCGTGGACGTGCTGGTAAACACCGCCGGGTGTGGGCTGCTCGGTTTGTCATACCGCTCCTCCTTCACCCTCCTTCCACCTCTCCACTCCCCACCCTACAGGCAGCAGTCAAGCAAATCACCAGCCAAACTGGGCAAGTGGACGTGCTGGTGAACAACGCGGGGTGCGGGCTGCCGAGGTGCCTGGCAAACTGCCCCTCTGCCACCTCCCCTGTCCCCCTCTATCTGTCCACCCTATAGGCAGCAGTGAAAGAGGTGACAAGGGTAGCGGGACGGGTAGACGTGCTGGTGTGGTGAACAACGCGGGGTGCGGGCTTCTGGGACCATCAGTAACCTGTCTCTCCTCCCTTTCCGTCTCCCCCACCCGACAGGCAGCAGTGAAGGAGGTGGCACGAACAGCAGGGCGCGTGGACGTGCTGGTGAACAACGCGGGGTGTGGGCTGCCGGGTTTGTCATCTGTCTTTCGTCCCTCCCCCCTCTCCTCCTTCCTGCCGTGCACCCTAAACCCTGCAGGCAGCAGTGAAGCAAGTCACCAGCCAAACGGGGCGGGTGGACGTTCTGGTCAACAACTCGGGGTGAGGGCTGCCACGGCCAGGCCACTGGCAAACTGTCCCCCCTTCTCCCCCTCAGGCAGCAGTGAAGGAGGTGGCACAAACAGCAGGGCGACGTGCTGGTGAACAACGCGGGGTGCGGGCTGCCGGGGTTGACAGGCTGTCTTTCCCCTCTTCCCCTAACCTCTATCCCCACACCAGGCACCAGTCAAGCAATTGGCGCAAGCAGCAGGGCGAGTGGACGTGCTGGTCAACAACTCGGGGTGTGGGCTGCCGGGGCCGCTGGCAAACTGTCCCTCTTCCACTCTCCTGCCCCCCTCTATCCTTCCACCGTATAGGCAGCAGTGAAGGAGGTGGCAAAGGCAGCGGGGCGAGTGGATGTGCTGGTGAACAACGCGGGGTGTGGGCTGCCAGGGCCATTGGCGGAACTACCCATGACGAGGATCAAAGAGGTGGGATGCGGTACTCGTGGGTGAGGATGGGACAAGGGTGTTTTGTGTGCACAGAGGGTGTGGGCTGCCAGGGCCACTGGCGGAACTACCCATGGCGATAATCAAAGAGGTGAGAGGAGGTGGGATGCGGTAATTATGGGTGAGGTGAGTTGGGGAGAGGAGAGCGAATCAAGGTAGAGGGTGCGGGCTGCCGGGGCCGCTGGCAGAATTGCCCGTGGCGAGGATGAAAGAGGTGGGATGCGGTACTCGTGGGTGAGGATGGGGATAGCGGGTGTGGCCTGCCAGGGCCACGATTTTGCCCATGGCCAGGATCAAAGAGGTGGGATGCGGTACCTGTGGTGAGGTGGGGAGGTGAGATGAGGAGGTGAGATGAAGAGGTGAGGAGGCGGGACGAGGGGCGCGATGAGGAGAGGTGAGACGAGGTGTCTTTTGAGTGACGTACTTCCTCTCTTCTCGCATTGCTCGTCCCTTCTCCTCCCTTCTCCTCCCTTCTCCTCCCTTCTCCTCCCTTCTCCTCTCTTCTCCTCCCTTCTCCTCCCTTCTCCTCCCTTCTCCCTTCTGCTCCCTTCTCCTCCCTTCTCCCTTCTCCCTTCTCCCTTCTCCTCCTTTCTCCTCCATCCCCTCTGCTTTCTCCCTTCTCTTGCCTTCTCTTCTCCCCCCCAGGTCTATGACACGAACCTCTTTGGAGCTTTGACGTTGTCCCAGGCAGTGTTCCCCTACATGCACAAGCACAAGGACTCAACATCCCTACTAACCTCCTCCGTCCCCCTCCCCCTACCTCCTCCAGGTGTATGATACAAACCTGTTCGGAGCATTGGCGTTGTCTTAGGCCGTGTTCCCCTACATGCACAATTGCAGGAACTCCAACACCCCTCCTACACTCCCCCGTCCTCCCCATCCTTCTCTCCCTTCTCCCTCCCTCTCCCTCCTCCAGGTGTATGACACGAACCTGTTTGGAGCATTGGCGTTGTCCCAGGCCGTGTTCCCCTACATGCACAAGCAGAAGAGCGGGCGAATTATCAACGTTTCCAGTGTTGCTGGTTACACTTACAGGTGAGGTAGTTACACTCGCAGGTGAGGTGGTATGAATGCACAAATAATCAACGAATCCAGCTTTGCTGGTTACAATGAAACCCGTGGGTGACTTTTGAGTCGACTCAAAAATCACCTCGGATCATTAACGTATCCAGATTTGCTGGCTAAAATGAAACCCCTCTGGGGATTACCCAGGCACCTCAGACTCTCCCGCACATCTCTCATACCCTCTCCCCCCGCTCTGCATGTCTAGAACAGGCCCTTTGTGGGGAAGTACAGAACCAGCAAGGCGGCGTTCAATGCGGTTACCAACTGCATGCGCATGGAAATGAAACCAATGACGATCTCTGAGCTGCCGAAATTACAATATCCCCCTCCCCCTTCCTTACGTTCTCCCCTCTCTCCTTACGTTCTCCCCCTCTCTCCTTACGTTCTCCCCCCCCTCTCCTTACGTTCTCCCCCCCCTCTCCTTACGTTCTCCCCCCACTCTCCTTACGTTCTGCCGAAATTACAGTATCCCCACCCCCCCCTCCTTACTCCCTCTCCCCCCTCTCCCCACCTCTTCCACTGCATGTCTTGAGCAGGCCCTTTGTGGGAACGTATGCCAGCAGCAAGGCGGCGTTCAATTCAACTACCAACCAACTGCACGCGCGTGGAATTAAAACCCCTGGCGATATTTGAGCTGCCTAGAAAACCATCCCCCTCTCATCTCCCCTTCCTTACTCCCTCCCTCCCCCCACCCCACATCTCCCACTCTTCCGCTGCATGTCTTGAGCAGGCCATTCGTGGGGACGTATGGCAGCAGCAAGGCGGCTCTGAATGCAATCACCAGCTGCATGCGCGTGGAAATGAAACCCCTGGCGATCCTTGAGGCGCCTGGAAAAGCTCCCCTTTCCCAACCCTTCTCCCGCTACCCGCTGGCTGCATCTTGTGAGCAGGCCCTTTGTAGGGATGCATGGCAGCAGTAAGGCAGCATTTTTGAGGCGCCTCAAAAGCAGGCCCTGTGTGGGGATGTACGCCGCAGCAAGGCAGCATTTTTTAGGCGCCTCAAAAGCAGGCCCTTTGTGGGGACGTATGGCAGCAGCAAGGCAGCACTCAACGCGGTTACCAGCTCCAGGAGCTTAAGAGAACCCCCCCCGACCCCCACACTCCACTTCATCCCCCTCACCCCATTCCACCTTTCATTTCAAGAGCAGGCCATTCGTGGGGACGTACGGCAGCAGCAAGGCGGCTCTGAATGCAATCACCAGCTGCATGCGCGTGGAAATGAAACCCCTGGGGATCGGCGTTGTGCTTGTAACACCCGGTTTCATCCGCACCAACATTTTCAGGTGAGGAAGCTGCAGGGAAGGGCCGAGCAGAATTGCGCTATGTTTGAGCTCCTCAAAGATTGAACCATCTGGGGAAAAGAAACCCTGGGGATTGGAGTTGTGCTTGTAACACCCGGTTACATCCGCACCAACATTTTCAGGTGCTGTTGCTTAAGCTACCTCAGCGATTAAAAAGAGAATTATCGATGAGGCATTGTCCACATAGCACCCAATTATATGCGTGAACTCAATGTCCTCTCCTCCACTCCCCCCTTCCCCCAACCCTCCCTCCCCCCTTCTTCCCCGATTGATTCCCTCGCTGTAGTGAGAATTTCACGCTCATTTTTTAGCTCAAGACTTTAGGCGCCCCAGAATCAGTGACTCCTTGCGCAAACATTATGTTTCCCCATCTGTCTCCCCATCCCATTGATGCTCTGGTGGCATCAAGGATTCCACATTCCTGTCCTCACACCAACGGCCCCAGTCATTCGCGTCTTATTTCGGTCCCACGAGTCTTTCTTTTGTCTTTTTATTACCCAAAACCACCGCCTCTCATGCAGGAAGAATACCCCCTCCACATCCCTATCCTCCCACGATCAATCACGGTCGCTCCATTTGCTCCCATTCCCATTTTCTCATTTTCTGTCCTCCCATTTGTCTTCTCGCTCCCTCCCCTACCACCCCGATCCCTCATACAGCAAGAATGTCTCTCACATTCCTACCCTCCCATCATCAAGCCCGTTTAAAGCCATGGAAGTTAATATCCGCGAATCCTACGCGAAGCGGGCCGAGAACCTATCCTTTCCGCCCGCGTCTGAGCTGGCAAAACGCATCGCTGATGCGGCACTCAGCCCAAATCCTCCTATCAGGATTTTGTTCGGAACGAGTGCGCTTCCTGCTGTACTTGCAGGGGCGATGCCTTTGTGGCTTCAAGATTTTGTGTATTCGAGGCTGTTTGGCAGTGGGAAAAATCTGTAGACTGATTGCCGTGTCAATGTGTTTATCCAAGTAGTTTTGGTAACTGAAGTTGCACATTTCCAATTTCCAAAGCTTTAAGAAACATATTTTCATATTTGGTAGTGAGCATTGTTTGCACCTTGCGTTCAGCGTTTTGCTTGTATGGGGCGAGCGCAAAGCAGCGATCTTTCACAAGAGCAACGACTTTCACGACTTGTGGAAGACCGCGTCAGTCCAACTTCCTACACTTGCGCTCTGTTCCACGACAGCAGGAGCACGTCAGCAGCATTTACACTACAGCATCGGCTCTCGGAATCCGCGACAGCAAGGGGGTACAGTAACCCCCACCCACACTTCCGTTTGGTCCACACTGGTGGAAATGTTGTCTCTGGCACGGCTCTCGATTTGTTTTGGGACACCCTTCCCAAAACGGGTTGCGACGGACCTTCAACCCGCCACTCAGTGTGCCAACGCGCGAGTGTACACAAGGAATTACAAGGTGTTAATTCATTTCTTGTCTGAGATGCACTGTAATGGCTATGACGAACACTGTATTTTTAGAACAAACCGCGTATGGTGTGAACGGGGCTCAGATGTTCAGCTGGGCAAACCCCATACTGTACGCGGAGCGGACATGGGTCAGCAGAAACTTTTGTACAGAGGATTCTGATGTTGAGCCAAGTTTCTTCAAGGTTTGTTATCGTACGTCTCAAAACCCATTTCGCAAATACAGCAACCAGGCAGGTCACGCCCACGTTCTTCCAGTGGCTAATTCAGTGCGATCCAGTCGGCTTCCACACGGTATCGATTTCCATGACGTCGCGCTTTGAAATGCACACATCCGATCCGAACCTACGAACAAATTGGCACAACAGCTTTTCACCAATTCACCAGAAATGTTCCCTCTTCATTTTTCATAGCAGCACAGCTACCTTTCACTCCAAGTCCAAA